AGTTAACCATAATAGAGATTCGCGACGTCTCTCGGTTGATAATTCCTCCGTCGTACTGGACCGGTTTCCCTTCTACCGTACGCAATTCGTAAGGGTCTTTTTTGTAAGCCCATGGTATGTTGAGTTCATTCACCATCCGTGGTGATATGAAGTTTTCCTGAGCTCCGCTGTCTATCAGCGCGGTAGTCTCGTATCCTCTGAGCCGTATTTTCGCCGTAAGTGGCGATGGGTCGAAGGTCGCTCTCAGGTCCTTCGCCTCTTTACCGTTCGTTTGGCTCCCTAACGACGGTACTCGTCGTTTTTTGGCACAGACTGGCCGGTGGCTTCTTCGCGGAGTTGCCTCACGTACTCCGTATACCGTGCCGGTTGTCCCGTGCGTGATTGTTCTTCCAAGGCGAGCATGGTGGCTTCGAGCACTTGGTCGTGGTGTCTCATCTGTCGTGCTAGCGCTTTGTATTGTCGCTTGTAGGCTAAGTCGAGGCTGACCCGTGGGTTTCGGTCGGCTTCCTTCTTGGCTCGTTCTGTCGCAAGCCGGATTCTTTGTGCCCTTTTTTCTAAGACTTCGGGGTCTGGAGCGGGCTCGTTCCCCAATAATTCGTCCAAGCTGGGCGTCGGGGTGGCAGAGGCACCCTCCCTCACCCTTTGCATTCGTTTCTGTGTCCGACTGTGTCGGAGGTGCACTTGCCCTTTCCTGGCTTCTTCTTGCGATTCCTGCTGTCGATGCCACGACTCTAGTTTCCTGAGTCGGTGGATTTTGCACACTACTGTGGTGCAATCAATCGTTGCTCTCCGTCCGAGTACACAGTCGACTGGGTAGTCGAGTCTCATTCGTAGGACGGCATACCCCTTTACCGTGTCTTGGTGGAAGATCTCCCAATACTCCAGGTCTTCTTCCAAATATGCACGTAGTGGGAATTCTTTCCACCGCCTGGGCATAAATTGGTGCTTCAGTTTCTTCGCTAGATGCCTTGAGCATTCATCGAACACGCACGCAGACCACGAAATCTGGTTGTGTCGTTCGTCCTTGTAATGTAGTCGTGGATCCTCCTGATCTCGTACGGCTTCTCTTCTTCCTCCTGCTACTGCTTGGCGAGGAGTTATTCCTGGGAGTGCGATGACCATCTGTTCTCCGCTCGGGGCCGGTTGTTGTTGAGTGGCCATCATTCGTCCGTATTTCTCATCGTCGCTTTCCGGTAGGGGAGTGAACGGGTTTTCCCCCCGGTCTTCTTTTTCTTCGAGCCACGCCCGTGTTCGCTCACTGTTGTCTTCTGTGGCTACCGAGTACGTGTCTCCGTCCCATGCGAATTCGGGTCCTTCGTCTGAGTCGTCTCCGGACCTGATCCTGTTCATTCCTGGTGGGGTATCGTTCCGTTCCTTTGGCCTGAGTAGTTCCTTTCCGGGTGACCCCCTTTTTCCTACAGCAACAACCCTTGGCTGTCCCGTGGCTTTTGGGAACCATCCCGAGGCCTCCTTGCCTTGGATGTGTACTAGGCAAGCGTCGTTATAGCACGTCGTCCAGTGCTTACTGTCATGGTCGGTCTTTTGAGCCACGTTTGCTTGTCGTGTGGGCTCAGGTACTTTCCCTTGCTTTTTCTGTCGGCAGTTACGGGCAAAGTGTCCCTTCTTGCCGCAGTTGTAGCAGACCTTGTCGTCGTTCCGTTTCGCGGCATCGAGTTCCATGGGTCCCGCGTGCTGCGTGGATCCCCAGGCCGTAGTGCCTTTTGCTCGTACCACTTTTCTTCCTTGGTTAGGGATCCTTGGGTGATACACCCGCTGTTGC